TACTCTGATTTATCCATTTCATTACTGAGAGTTGACACAGATAACTGGCATTTAAAAATCTATGGAGTGCATTGTGCAGGTTCTGAGTTTGTTAGTAAGATTCTCAGTAGGAAAAAATATTCTGAAAGCCTCGTCAGAGGACTTCAGCTCTGGAAAGGACTTCTGAGGTTTCTCAGTCCACCTTCCTCATTTCCGTAAAGCAGCAGCTGAGGTCCCGAGAGACTGAGTGACTTGCCCAAGGGCATCAGTGAGAGAAGGTCAGATGTGGGTTATCGCTTGCCACAGCTGCCTTTAATTCATAAAAAATATTAGACAAATTCTAATTCATACCGCTAATTTAAATACTTATCAAACCAGCGGTAGACATTAATTTTTAACGCACAGTAACTATTTCAGGGTCTAAAAAATTGAACAAACTGGGCTTTCAACACTATATAAAGCTGTATGAGTCGCAATCTACTGTTTGGGAGAGTAATAGATTCTTAATTGAATCTGTGCCTCTGAGTGGAAGAATGACTCTTAAACGGAAAATCCCACAGAGGTGGTGATAAGAAATGAGCTTCGCCAGATGAATTATTCCAGGAGAAAGTAAGATAGCAAAGCCAGGCCAGAAAAAGCTTTTTCTTAAAGATCCCAAATTAAACAAATGTAGATTGTTTGTTTAACCCCGTCTTTCTAGTCTTGACAATGTTTGTTTGAACATTTATTGCGCTTTAGGTGAAAATTTACATAGCAAATTCGTTTCCCAATCAATAGTTCCTGCACAAATTCTTCCGTGACAAACTGCTCCTTTCTCCTCCCTGAGTTCCCCATCTCCACTGGTCTGGTTCCTCTGTCCCTTCCTGGCTTCTCACCTTTGCTTTTGGGCAAATGTGGCACCCCTTTTAGTCTTGTACAGCTGATTGTTCTAAGGAGCACATTTTCCCAGGTGGTGTTTATTTCATAGGCCCATCTATTAATTGGCTGATAGGAAGCCTCCACAAGTATCTTCAGTCTCAAGTAAGAAGGTTGCCTTAGGGCGACAGTTTCAGGGGTTCCTCCAGTCTCTTAAACCGGTTAAGTCTGGTCTTTTTTTTTTTTTTTAATTTGAATTTTGTTTTACATTTATTACCCCTTCTAACTGGGACCTTCTATTGTGCTCCTGGTCAGAGTGCTCCTGAGTGGTAGGCAGGTACCGTTTAATTATCCTCGTCTCAGATTATAGGAGGTGGTGGTTCATGTGGGCCATTGACACTATCTCTTGTGTTCTGATCCTTCATAGACTAGGATGATCTCCAGGGTTTCATATACGCTTTATAAGTGTATGTAGCACACTAAGAGAGAAGAACTGATACATCTGAATTGTGGCATTGGTGAAGAATATTGAGTATCACATGGACTGCCAGAAAAACAAACAAATCAGTCATAGAAGAAATATGACCACATGTTCTTTAGAAGTGAGGATGGTGAAACTCTGACTTGCTTACTTTGGACACCTTGTCAGGAAAGACCAATTGCCAGAAAAAATGTTTGCTAGAGGGTCAGCGAAAACGAGGGAAACCTTCCATGAGACGGATGGACACGAAACTCCAACACTGGGCTCAAACATATTGAAGGCCATGAAGACGGTGCAGGACTGGGCGCCATCTTGTTCTGTTCATACCTAAGTTACCATGAGTCGGAGATGGCTCAACGGCAACTAACAATAACAACATGAAGCTAACGTTGATGTTATTTATCTAACAATTCCCGGGAACCTAAGATGCCACCCTTGCACTCCTCTCATGTAACGTAACAAGCATAAGCTTTTAGCACTGGCAGGAAGCCTAGAAATACTTGAGTCCAACACCACATTTCACAGATAAGAAAACTGAAGCCCACACAGGGAAGTACCTTGCCCAGAAAGGTCACACAGAGTTAAGGCTCTAATAACAAAAATTAGGCATTTTGACAGATTCATGAACTCTTGAGTAACTCCATCTTCAGCTCTGAGGACCTCAGAATCACACTGTGCACCCTGAAGTACTAATTAAATCAGAGGAATTACATACTATTTATAGGCAGGAGTGAAGAAATTAACTAGGCCATGAAACCTGGGACATGCAGAAGGCGATCTTGTCTCCTGGGGTTCACATATTACATTCAACCTTCATATTTTAAGGCAGCACTTAGATAATGCAGAGTCTTAACTTTCCTAATTCTGGACTTTGATCTGCTTTCAGTTTTCCTGGTGCACAGCTACTTCAGAGTTTTTTGTAACACGAAAGAAATGGTTAACCCCTCTTCTTCTAGGAACTGACGCCCTCACCCAGTGAAAAAGGTTCAAATGATCCTTTCAACACATACCAATTGCCTCAAAAGGACCTATTTCAAACCTGTTTTTCTATTAGGAGTTATAACCAACAGTACCCAGTCAATATACTTCCACTGAATTTAGAAGTGAAGAGAAAGGAATGAGGAAATCCATGAAAATGTTTCAAACAGACACACCTCTTGGGTTTACAATTTTCTTTTTACTGTGGTGTGAACAAAAATGCTAAAATCAAAGAACTTCTAAGTTTTAATCTCTACAAGCCTGGTTGTGTGGTTCTAGGGGAAGAGTCATTTAACCTGTCAGTTCCCACTTCTGTACAATGAGGATAAAACTATGGCAGCCCCTCTCCTGGGTACTGTGTGGATCGGCTTATTACAGCTAATAAAGCCCCAAGAAAGAACCAGAAAATACTATGGAAGTGCTTGGTATTGACGGGCTTCTCACAGTCACAAAACTCCTAAGGGACAGCATTCTGTGCAGACAGCACCATCTCTATTGGTGATTACTTATCACCCACCACTTACAAAGCCAGCCTGGACTTTTCGTAATGGGGTGGGGAAAGACGCATCACACAACGTTGTTCAACAACACCATCTTTATTCAAAAATATATATCTATGAGACATTTCAGAATATACCGCTGCCACCACTGGCAGCCTATACTTCTAAATAAAGTCCTAAATTAATATACAAATTTAAGCTTTAAAAATATTCTTTAAGAAAAAAATAAAACAAAAACAAAGGAAGATTGAAGACTTTCTGAGGAATATGACCTAAAGGAAAAGTCCTTTGAGGCCTATGGATGCCCTAAGAAGAAAAAACACAAAAACAAAACCCACCCTGCCCCCTTCAAATCACCTCATACATCCAAGGAAAAAGATTCATTTAAATTAAACAACTGAAGTAATAAGCCACTTTGGGAGGATGTGGGGAGAAGAATTATGATTTTAAAAACAAAAAGCATTTCATTAAGGGGGGAGAGAAAAAAAAGCCAACTTCCTCACAGGAAGTCCACTAGTAACAGGTGTTAAGAGGCCAACATACTCATTTACATAATTTGCTACAATTTCATTTCTTGATCTTGCTGTAGTAACTACCCAATTGCTGGTCAGACTCAGATAAAAACACAGTCGTGGAGGAAATCCATTACATTTTCCTCCAGTGGATTAGAGCAAACATTTACTACACCCTTCTTGATGGTCTGCGGCTGGCAGAATTTTGCTTCCTTGGTGAAAGCACACACAATGTCTGAGGCAGACAGGTCTGCTGAGAAACAGGCTTATCTGTAGGAATCTCAGCACACCCACCCTGCTGGGGAAAGGGGGGGGATATGTGCAGAATCAGCCGAGATCGGAATTTATCTTGCAATGTTAGTAAAACCACAGTGCCCTCTGGCCTCTGGGAGACAAACATCAGATCCATTATTTAACAGTGAAGTGCCACAAGTAGTGTCAGCAGGCAGACGCAGTCCCTATTCCAATCTGCAACAACAGCCTACTCCGCACTGCCCTCCACAGAGTTAAACTGACTACCTGCTAGGACTCAGAGCTGCTCCCACTTCCAGGCAGGCAGGAACCGCTTCTGGAAGGGAAGCCTGTTAGGCTTTTTAAAGCACAAGTTATGTTTAACTTGTTTAAATATGTAAAATTCCATGAAAATGGCTTTCGGGTAACCTTGACGATACCAACTCACAATCAGGCAGATTCCAAAGCCCCTGCTACTGAATTCCTTTTTATAGCTTGTGGATTTCAGCAATAATTCCTATTACACTATTGGGGCAAATTGTTTTCTGCCCTTTCTGATTTCACAAATAAGTCTGCCAAATTAGAATGATTTACACTTAGCAGCCTACCCTTTATTAAAAGCAAGATAAAAACTCTAACAACATTATATAGTCACAATGTCAGCTGGCATGATAATGGAATTAAAACCCAAAATTAATATCCTTCTCCCTGCCTCCCCCAGTAACATCTGATGCCAAGTCCTTCTCCTCATACAGGCACAAGGACACGGGCAGTGGCAGGAACTGACTGGCAGACAAGCATGCACAAGAGGGTCATACTTGCAGGGGAGATTCTTCAAGTTTAGTCACCAGACCGTGGACGTATGTCCACACAGTGGATTGAATGTTAGTGTGTGTTCCCTCCCCCCATTCCAGATAAAAGGGTCAGAGCGACACCGCTGCAGAGCTCAGCCCCCAGGCACGCTGGTGTGTGGAGCCTCCATCGTTTGGGATCCACCAGTGCAGTGCTTCTCAACCAACAGGGGTTAAAGGATAGTGCTTTTGTAACGTGCTCTGAGTAAGTGGGCAGGACCCTTGGTAAGTGCAGCCTGGGAAGGTTGTATGTAGGAATTTGAAGTAAATAACTTATTTTTAACTCATGCATGTGCTCTCTGTTATTCTATCCCTGAAGTGTGACTTCATGTCCCCAGATCAGCTTTGAACCTTATTGCTAAATTCTCTAGTTGGCTTACAAAATAAATACAGCTACCCTTCGACTGTAGCATGAGTGGAAAGGATGGCAAGGGAGGGTCAGAGGTTTGGCAAACTCTTTATGGCAAAGCTGCTCCACAGCTGCCTGACCTCTGGGGCCAGGTGGTAGCAGCCGGGCCAGCCAATGGCAGCACAGAGAGCCCCTTGGTGGGAGCCCATGCCTAACACGAACAAGCCCGGCTCAGAGGTGAAGCTGCTTTTGTTGAGAAAACGCTGTCCTGAGGGACAAATATTCCTTGAAAGCTCCAGAGGTACACATGATTTTCCAACTTCATGGGTGTAAAAAGAGAGTTAAAAATAGAAAACCAGCAGGGGCACGAAAACATGAAGGAGGACAGAATCTGTGTTCTTTCCAAATGTGCGTGGGAACCGGTCCCATTCGCCACTGCTCTGAACGGTGCTCCAGATGAGAGGCCGGACAGGAGAGTGAGTTCGGTGGTTCTTCTCAAGGCTGGGGGCCGGGTGGAAGCAGGGGCAGAACCGGGGGCCAGAAGGTTATTTCCAACCATGACTTGAGCCCTCTTCCTTCTGCTGGTACAGCTGGCGATCTGGGGCCAGACACCTATCCTAGTCAGTGGAAAACAGGTCACCAGCAGAGGGCAGGGGGGCCAAACCCCCTGTGACGTTGGGTAGCAGTGAGAGGTCTGGCAAGCTCTGAATGTGGGACTTCAGTTCCTTGCGGACCTGGGTTACCCGAGCCAGCTTCTGTTTATATTCCTAAGGGGCCAAAGAGAAGACAAGGCAGTTCAGTCAGCGGGCGCTGAAGGAGCCACACAGCTACTCTCACCCTCCGGCTCTCCTCGCGTCCTCTGCAGCAGCAGACCCCCTGCCCCCCCTCAGCTCCACTATAATGCTGGGGTTCCCAAACTCAAAAGGCAAAGCTTTCGATCAAAAAAGAGCAGAGCGCAACACTAGCAACAGTGAATTAAACAGTATTCAGCTTGATGCTCAGTATCTAGAATTTCAAGAGCAGTGAGTGACATTTAGTGTTTGCTTTCTCTGTTAATTGTTTATCTGTTTCAAAATGCCTTATAACATACAGATATTCAAGCTGTACAAGTACTCTGAAGGCTGCATTTAGATGTAGTTAGAAAAACCACCATAAAACTATAGTTTGTTAAAGCTCAGAGATTAACTCATTGTTTATTTTCAGAAAGTTGTATTTATAGAATTAACCCATTATTAAGTAAAACTGAAGAAGCCTCAAATACAAGCACTGCAAAATCACAGAGTCCACTGACACTCTGTGTTCGAGGACCACCCCACCCCACACCTGGGTCCTGATAAGGCCTTCTGACAGTTCCCCCCTCCCCTGACCCCCAAACATGATCTCCCAAAAGCACAGTCATCCTCAAATCCCTTCTTTGAGAAAGTGAAGACCTGCACCGCACGATCTCTATGACTCTGAGAGCTCAAGGTCTGCTAAGACCATCGCCCCTCAGACCCATTTCTCACAACCTCCCCACTCCCTCCGCAGGGGCCACTGTTCAGTATCCCTCTCAAGCCTGGAGGTGCTCCTGGTCCTGGAAAGCCCTCAGCCCAGCCCTGTGCCTGCTGAAAGGATGCTCTTGGTATATCCATATGGACTAACTGCCCTAGACCATGTGAACAACTGTAGTTTACGGTCCCCTCGGGCTTGCCTCTTTTTCCCCTTAGCTGCCTCACTTCTGTAGGTGTTTCTGCAAGAAGGGCCCCTGCTGACGAAAACATCTCCTGCAGGATTATAACAGAAAGCACAGGCCTGGGAATGGTTCTGGCTCTCCCTCTAACTTGCTGTGTGAGGTGGACATGTTCCCTCTCTCCTCCTCAGTCTTGACCTTCCTTATGCAAAAATAAGGAAATCATCACATCACTAAGGTTTTTCTTCAAGTTCTAGATCCCTGGATGTCAGACACTTAAGCACACTTGAGGAGGCTTTGAGGATAAAAGAGGTTTGAGGATAAAAGCTTACGTACTACTGGGAAGAGTGACAAGGCAAGAAATAGGCTGAACTAAGAATACATACAAGGGGACACTGCAGGGTTTAAAATCAAGAAGGAAGAAGTGTGTGAGGCTTGTATCCTTTCATCACACTTATTCAATCTGTACACTGAGCAAATAATGCAAGAAGCTGGACTATATGAAGTAGAATGTGGCATCAGGATTGGAGAAAGACTCAGCAACAACCTGCGATATGCAGATGACACAACTTTGCTGGCTGGAAATGAGGATGACTTGAAGCACTTAACTGAGGAAGACTGAAGACTACAGTCTGCAGTATGGATTACAATTCAATACAAAGAAAACAAAAATCCTCACAACTTGTCAAATAAGCAGCATCACAATAAATGGAGAAAAAACTGAAGTTGTCAAAGACTTTGTAGTACTTGGTTCTACAATCAACACCAATGGAAGCAGCAGTCAAGATATCAGACAACATATAGCATTGGGCACATCTGCTGCAAAAGACCTCTTTTCATGTGCTGGAGAGCAAAGATATCTCCTTGAAGACTAAGGTGCACCTGACACAAGCCATGGTATTTTCAATCAAATCATTTGCATGTGAGAGCTGGGCAATGAATAAGAAGACTCAAGAAGAGTTGATGCTTTTGAGTTGTGGTGCTGGCAAAGAATGCTGAAAGTACTGTGGACTGCTAAAAGAACTAACAGATCTGTCCTGGAAGAAGTACAGCTGGAATGTTCCTTGGAAGCAAGAACTGCCTCTCATCTACTTTGGTCATGTTGTCAGAAGGGACCATTCCCTGGAGAAGGGTATCATGCTGGGTAAAAGGAGGGTCAGTGAAAAACGGGAAGGCCCTCCATAAGATGGACTGACACAGTGGCTGCAATGATGAGCTTAGGCACAGCAAGGCTCATGGGGCTGGCACAGGACTGGGCAGTGTTTCGCTCTGTTGTACACACAGTGTCACTATGAGTCAGAGACGACTCAACGGCACCTAACAACAACAAGAATAGTTAGTTCAAGTGAGGAGCAGAAGGAGCAAACAGGGCATATGGGCAGGGAGCTCTAACGCCCACATTACTGCAGGCAACAACTGTCTCCCACCTGAAATGAGAGCTGCTCATACAGGCCACCAAATGAACCCTGATCCAGGAGACAGGAACAGAAAGCAAGCTTTCCCAGCATTCCACTCTGTCCTCTGTAGACTGATCACACCTGAAATTCAACAATGACTTATGTGAATTGTTACTAATGCCTCCCCATTAGACTGGTAAACTCCAGGGAGCAGGGCCTAGGCTCATCTGCATCACCCCAGCATCCACCATGCTCAGCAGTGCCAGCAAACATGAGTGCTCGGTGAATGAACAATATATAAAACATAACATTAAACCATGGGACGGAATGTTCCGGAAAGAGAGACCTGGGTCAACAGTCACTTTTTAGTCTATTAGTTTTCAAATCTAAGAATGTGAAATGCTAGTCGCCTGCCCCTCCCCCTTCACGACCTTTCTTGTCTTTGGTTACATATATTTCAAGGGAAATATAAAGCACAAAAACCAATACTCTCTTCCTGGATATGAATTCACTTAAGAAAGTTCTCCTGGATGCTGAGTACGAACAGGAAAAAAATAGTTAATGAAGAGTTACTTTTGCTGCTCCCTCCCTCACCAAAGTGGACAAATGAAAGCCATTCACCCCCAGCAGCCATAGAGCACTTTAGCGCAAGCAGCTCCTCAGAACAGTGTGAAAATCACCCCGGTAGATCTGCAGATTAACAAGCAAGCCTACCCATGTTTCAATGGGGAGGCAGGTGATTTGATCAGGTACCACCTGAGGTTCAAATAACTCTCTCCTAAGAAATCTTAAAATAAAAACAAAAACAAAAACAAAAACCCACGTGGTGTGCTTTGGGAGGGGTGTGTATAGGCTGATACTAGATTCCAGACATCACCAGAGAAACTGCACTTTACTGAAAGGAAATGGAAATATGCTCCCCATTACAGGCCGCTCCTCAGGCCACTCTGAAAGCTGAAGGGTCCTGCTCACATTCCTCATGCCACTGGGTTGCACCTTTCAGAGGGATTTCTATCCTAAGAGCAGGCAAGTGAGCGAGGAGGAAGGCATCACTAGAGAAAAGGTGAGAGCCGGACAATCACCGAGAAGAACTGAAACCTCTTTAGGCTGATAAACAGTACCAAAAAAGACCCACAGGCTACAAGGTTTAAACACTTCGGTGTGGGTGGCTGGGTATACACTTTGAGTATCCAAATGCAGGCAGAGTTTGCTTTTAAAACTGTCAAAACATACACCTGGGTACTGACATGGTCGAATAACCTAGCTTAACACCCCGAGGAGTTGTGGGCAAGTTAGAATTCACTGCAAACTCTGATTAGGCCACGATGAAGCTATAATAATTTTATAGTCTCTTAAATAGGCTCGATAGTACTGACTCTATGACCTCCACCATGTGTGTGTGTTTTTTTTTTTTTTTAAATACATTTAGGCTTTCTAAATAAAGTCATCTATAAATGTTGCTATGGACTAAAAAACATTCAGAGTGAATCTAAACAAAACTCCCCAAATACAACTCCAGCCCTCACTTGCCTCCTACTTTGCCCCCTCTCCCAGAGGCAGGTCATGATGCTCCCTCACTAGTTGCCTTTCTAGGCTCCTGTCTTTGGTTCTGGACAGGTAAGGCAGAAAGACATCAGCAAAAACCAAGCATCTTTATTTCAACCTATCAGCCTGCCTTCAGGCAAAAGTGCTACACAAGTTCTGCTGTGCACGCCTAAGAAATCCAGGCCTCTTTTCAAGACCCTGCTAAAACCGATGTCCATGTGATGAGGCTCATTCAGTTCTTTAGACTCATTCAAGTGGGCTGCAGTCCGCAATCTCTTCAGTACACCGAGTACCACTGGGGTGGAGAAATACCGTGGCAAAGATGGCCCTATGTCTCATGTTCAAAATACCTTACACTTGTGTGTAGCCCAGGACTGGCCTTTAATGTAGCACTTGGGTGACCGTCTGGCACAGCAATCAGAGCCAAGGCTCACCAGCAGGATGCGGTGCTGCAGCCCACCCGAGATTCTCAGGACGGTTTATAGGCCTCTTCCCTGCACTCTGCTCCAGACAGTCCCCTTTTCTCCTAGGATTTACTCCACCCCTTTTCTCCTAGGATTTACTCCATTACCAACCATAAGGGAAGACAAGGCAATCCTGAATCCTAGCTGCTTTTCCTTTCCTTCTCATCCACAACTTACACTATATGGTGGCAGAGGCAAGGGGTTAGGCGGAACCCTCCATCAGGCTAAAAGCCCCTAAGCCTGCCTCACCCCCGAAGGGCCATGGCAACCACGAAATAGATAAGAATCATATGAAATCTGCCGTTACTTTCTGTTTCAGGATCCTCTGAGGAGGGGAGGTGGAGAGGTGGCAGGCCCCTGTGATGAACTGCCTGGGTTTATGTGACTGCCAAGAAATGTCTAAAACGTAGAGGGTAGGTGTAGCCCTAAGATAATGCCTAGGATTTATGCTCCTGGCAAAGCCCTGGCATGTCGCCTTAGACCCCCCAAACCTACAGGAGAAAACGTGTGCACCAACCCTCTGCTTCTGTGGACACAGCTCACACTGTGCGAACACAGACCATCACGGGCACCAGGACGATTTGCTGAAGGGAGCAGGGCTTTCACATTCTTTGCCTTTTTTGGTTAGAGCAGTAAGCCAGACCTGACATGTTGCAGATGAGCTCTGGGATAAGAGGGCTAGAAATGACAGG